GTTTACTAAGGAGTTATCAGTGTAATTCCTTAAGTGACTATGTTATATAATACATATCCCCCAAATCACCGGACTCAATTAATTCTCCTCATTCCTTCAAGAGCTAACCATGCCACCTCTAAGGTGTCTGACAGAGAGGAGGACCATCTGCCTCAATCCTTTCCTAAAATTCATGATGACAGTCCAAGCATGTGTGGCTCTCAAAAGACAGAACATCATACTTCAGGACTGGGAATTCTAGGAGCTAATGTGTTCCAAATCAACCTCATATCCATTTTTTACTGGGTCGGGGGTGGTGGTGGTGGTGAGAAAGAACAGAAGCAAGGATCTGACACATGCACAGGTGCTCCTGAAGTCACTGTAGCTTCTGTGTGCTTCAATTCTGGTTTTTAGTGTTTTCCTCCAATGCCTTGTACAGTAGAAAGAGCCCATGTATGGGCTTAGAAAGAATACAGGCCTGCGTATCAGAACTTGGATTCTAGTCTCTGCCAACAACTAAGGTAAATAAACATGACCAGCCATTTTATCTCTCCAGGTCTCAATTTATAATTCTGTGAAGTGAAAATAGTGGAATAGATGATATTGATAGTTCCTTTAGCATTCAAATGATAAGAATTCCATGCCTTATTTTACAGAACTCCAAACTATTTTGAACCTCTACTTTCTGGCCACAGCTACTAAAGCTATTACTTGGTATAACAATGACAAATCAATTTGGGTGACTGTTCTTCCCAGTTCCCTCCAGCCTTGCACTTCCTGTTGACTTTGGATAAAGGAATTCTTTTCCTTTGCTATGTGGTAACCTTTGGCCTAGATACTAGTTTAAGGATATGGAAGTAATATGACGTCCCTATGGAGGCTGATTGTAGTAGTCATTTGGCCCTTCCACATGGTCCTAAGTATAAATTCATTAATTTAAAGTAGTCCCAGGAAATTTAGATTCCCCTTATATTGGAAGGTATCTTTTTCATGGATATAAAAATACTGAAGTGTTTTGCAATTAAGAGGAGTAATTTCCTTCCTGATAACCTGGCTTGAAAATCTCAAACTTCTACCTGTCTTCACTTGTTCAATTCTCCTTCCCTGTCTCTGCTCAGTGGTCACAGGGGTGTTAAAGATGCATCCTATGGGGCGCCTGAGTGGCTCATTCAGTTAAACATCTGACTCTTAATTGTGGCTCAGGTCATGATCTCAAGGTTGTGAGATTGAGCCCTGCCCTGAGTAGGGCCTTGCTGACAGCATGAAGCCTGCTTGGGATTCTTTCTCTCCCTCTCACTCTGCCCCTTCTCTGCTTGTTGCTTGCTCTCTCTCTCTCTCTCTCTCTCTCTCTCTCTCTCTCTCTCAAAATAAATAAATAAACTTAAAAAAAAAAATAAGAGATGCACCCTACAGCACACAGAATAAAGGAAGGAAATTAACATTTCTAGAATATCTCTGAACTCGAATTTTGACCTGTGTCCACAGACTCTACACCACAGAGGGGTGAAAAGCCTGGTTTTGGCCCTTTCCCCTTCCCCTCCATGTGTTTGTAACACAGCATGTCTGAGTACTTAGCAGGACTAAGTACACTGCTCTGGCTGAAAGAATCCTGAGACTCATTTCCCCAGAAGAAACCATCATGGATAGGTATCTGATTGTGTGACACCTTCCCAGGCAGAGGGGTAGCCTCTGAGCTCAGCCAAGAGGAGAGCTGGTGGGAACAATGTGGAAAGGTTTCAGTCTTACAAGGCCAGTTTTCTGATTGTATTGCTGTTTGTCTGATCATGTTGCTATTTCCTGATTATGGTTGATACTCGATCTTAAAGTTTTGTGCCAAGGTTTGCAATGGGATTCTGGGCCTGTGTGTGAGAAGCTGAAGCACATCTCTTTGCATGCCTACGCACTTGCCTTTTAATCCTTATAACACACATGTAAACAAGAATAGTCATTTTACCCATTTTACAGATAAGGAAACTGAGGCTCAGAGTTTATGTGACTTGTCTGAAGGAGCAAGGAGTAAAATTCATTTTCCCATTGCAGCATGCAACTTCCCAAAACAGTCTGCCCTAATCCAAAAGATTCCTCATTTTATATGAAGCAAAAGATGATCAAAAAGTACCAGCACCTGAGAACAAAGAACAGACGTGACAACAGCCATTGCTGAATGACAAGTTTGAATCAGTCCTTCAATTTAGTTTAGTCCACGAATGAGATATATGTAATCATACTCAGAAGAATGAAAATAGATAGATTTGAAGTTGAATTTTCCCCTGAATGTGATACTGGCTGTTTGGTAAAATTTCCCTCTCCTATTAACATTTGAGAGGTACAGAGAGGGTCTAATCTGCTCCTCCTAGGAATGTGTCTTTCCCAAACCAGCTGGCTATTTCAGTAGTTGGTGTGCTAAAGCCAGCTCACGCTGTACCTATTTCCAACTCTGGTAGCCTGAAACTGGCCATGATGGGAGCATTTATACCATGGAAATCAGTAAACTATACACACCAAAAACACCACCCCCGCCCACCCCCTCCTGGTATTCCCCTTCCTGAGAGCTGGTTGTTAAACATTTATCTTTATATCTTGGACTGTCAGTCTTAATCACAGATATTTGGTAATCTGACAGCATCAGTAACACTGAATATTTCCAGAAGAGGCTAGTTTTCTTAAGAATATGATCCTATGCTGTGACATCAGGATAAATGAAAACTGGCACGAGGGATATAGTGTGCAAAATGTCCCAGACTGTTACGTGTGAGCATAGTGTTTCTCAGAAACTTGGAAGAGAACTCCTGTAAACTCCATCCAGACCTCAGGAGAAGCCAGGAATAATTATTCTCTTGAAAATATTAAATACAACAAGAGGAAAAAGGGGAGGAAGGGAAGACACATTCATCAAGAGAACCCATTAAAATATTCTCTAAAAATATCTTTAACGTTTTATGTGAAAACCAAATGTGAATAATTTGTTTTGTGTAAATAAAAGGTTAGACTGGGGCTAACATGTTAAAGGAGCAGTGAACTTTAATAAAGATGCACTGGGGCGCCTGGGTGGCGCAGTCAGTTAAGCGTCCGACTTCAGCCAGGTCACGATCTCGCGATCCGTGAGTTCGAGCCCCGCGTCGGGCTCTGGGCTGATGGCTCAGAGCCTGGAGCCTGTTTCCGATTCTGTGTCTCCCTCTCTCTCTGCCCCTCCCCCGTTCATGCTCTGTCTCTCTCTGTCCCAAATAAACGTTGAATAAAGATGCACTGACAATTAGGAAATGTGCAGGAAGGGGCGAATCTGTGATCCCCTAAGCCCACTTCTCTTTGGACTTTGATGTTCCAGCTCAAAAAACATAGCTACAATACTTACACGTGGCTCGGGGTGGGGGGGGGGGGGGGGGGCGGAGTATAAAATGGTATAATCAATTTGGAAAAGTGGCAGTTTTTAACATTCATAAATATTTTACCTGAGAGTAATAAAAGCTGTGTGTGCACACAAAGTAGCTTTATTCCTAACAGTCCCAAACTAGAAACAACACAAATGTCCACTAACAGGACATCTGTAATATATTCAAACATTGGAAGAATGGACTCAGCATTTAAAAGGAATGAACTATCAATAACATGGTGTGTCTTAAAAACAGTAGTGGAATCCGGATGGCCAATAGGCACATGAAGAGATGCTCAACGTCGCTCCTTATCAGGGAAATACAAATCAAAACCACACTAAGAGATCACCTCACACCAGTCAGAGTGGCTAAAATGAACAAATCAGGAGACTATAGATGCTGGAGAGGATGTGGAAAAACGGGAACCCTCTTGCACTATTGGTGGGAATGCAAATTGGTGCAGCCACTCTGGAAAACAGTGTGGAGGTTCCTCAAAAAATTAAAAATAGACCTACCCTATGACTCAGCAATAGCACTGCTAGGAATTTACCCAAGGAATACAGGAGTACTGATGCATAGGGGCACTCGTACCCCAATGTTTATAGCAGCACTCTCAACAATAGCCAAATTATGGAAAGAGCCTAAATGTCCATCAACTGATGAATAGATAAAGAAATTGTAGTTTATATACACAATGGAATACTATGTGGCAATGAGAAAGAATGAAAATATGGCCCTTTGTAGCAACGTGGATGGAAGTGGAGAGTGTTATGCTAAGTGAAATAAGCCATACAGAGAAAGACAGATACCATATGTTTTCACTCTTATGTGGATCCTGAGAAACTTAACAGAAACCCATGGGGGAGGGGAAAGAAAAAAAAAAGAGGTTAGAGTGGGAGAGAGCCAAAGCACAAGAGACTTTAAAAACTGAGAACAAACTGAGGGTTGATGGGGGGTGGGTGATGGGTATTGAGGAGGGCACCTTTTGGGATGAGCACTGGGTGTTGTATGGAAACCAGTTTGACAATAAATTTCATATACTGAAAAAAAAAAAACAGTAGTGGAGCCAAAGAAGTACAAAACTTTATAAAGTACATACTTTAGGATTCCATTTGCATGTGATTCAAGAACAGGCAAAACGGACGTCTGGGGATCAGAAGTGGTTGCCCCTGCCTGGGATGGGAAGGACTGACTGGGAAAGGGTATGAGAGAATGCTCTGGGGTGCTGTAAATGTTCGAATTCTTGATTTGGAATAGTGCTGTACACTTGAGATATTATGAGCCTTTTATTAAATGGAGATTAGATCTTGACTGAAATGTGTACATACATATAAATGTAAATAAATATACACACTCAAATTTCTAATCTAATGAAGGTATCTATTGCAATGAGCCAGGCTCCCCTCAGCCCAAAGAATTTCACACTCTCTTTCTGCCCTTGCAGTACTTGGATTTCGAGCTTTCAGAACATGGACTCAGGCTTCAGGGTGATGCTGCAAGTTGGAACCTTGTGCAATCACCCCCAGGTCATTTCCCTCTAGCTTGCCGACTTCCCATCACTGACACAATGCCACATCTGGCCACCCCCGCCAGGCCGCGAGAGAAAGTTTGGGAGAGGCAGGTTCAACCTGGTGGGGAATTCCTCTCCCCCGCACACTTTCCAGCGCCCTGCTGTGGCGGGTCACACAGCCCAGTAGGGCATGAATCAGCCTCCCTTCCAGGCTCCGCACAGGCACGCTCCGCCCCGTCCGGGGTCGGAGGCGGCTCACCCTACTACATAAAGCAAGCACCCAGCACGTCGGCACCCAGGCCGCCTAGAGGCTGGACTCTGTGCACCCTTTTCCAACGGGACTTTCAAGGAACGCCTCGCCCCGAGGGCCAATTGAACCGGACACAATGGACCCTACTGGACCTCTCCGGCTGTTACTTCTGCCGTTGCTCCTGATGGGGACCGTGCTGGGAGATGGTGTTCAGGAGACACCAGGTATGGGCTGGTCTGGGACCCCCCTCTTTGCGCCAGGCTTCCGCTGAGGTAGGCAGTGAGGGCGCTGCGGCAGTGGGGCCCCCAGCACCCGCCCTCTCCACCCGGATTTCCCCGGGCCCCTGCCGCACAGGGAGTCTAAAGCCGTGGGAAGAGGCACTCCCGCCGAAGTTTGTACTTTCTCTCCTGCAAACCCCCCTCTGCTCGGAACAGAACTCCCCCGGGAAGCCTCTACCTTCCTGGGAGACGGGAGACGTGGCTGACCTCCTTCCCTCTCTCAGGCTCTCCTTTTGACCCTCCTGTAGGAAACAATGCGGAGATCTGCCTCCTGCCCCCGGACGAAGGGCCCTGCCGGGCCCGGATCCCCAGTTACTACTACGACAGGTACACACAGAGCTGCCGCAAGTTCATGTACGGGGGCTGCGAGGGCAACGACAACAATTTCGAAACTTGGGAGGCCTGCGATGAAGCTTGCTGGAGGATAGAGAGTAAGTTGTTGCACGCAAGCTCAGAACTCTTGCGCGCTCCTTGCAGGGAAGGGCTGGTGGTAATTTAATTTTATGCCTCCTTGAAGTCACTGTTTCCTCATGTCGATCATCCATCAATCTGAAATACTTTCACTGGATTTTATTATTAAAGTATGATTTAGCTAACTATACATTTTCCTTTTGTCCCTGGATGCCCAAACATGTTTTGGCTTAGTACAGGGATATTGTGGAGATTCATGATAATGTTTTCTATTTTACTTTAATTATATTTATTGTATCTGTTAAGGCCAGTAACAGAACATGGGACTTTGCAATTCAGGGAAGTAAGCCAAAGGAAAATACCCATCCGTGTGAATAAGTTTAATTAACTTCATGTGTAGAAAAATCAGAACACCCTGTGAGAACAGAGAATTCCCACTACGTTTGGCTGACTCAGGTCTGGAGCCACTGTTACAAAAAAAAAAAAAAAAAAAAAAAAAGCTAAAATAACTGGATTAATGAAAAGTCTCTTGGGGATTTACTATCCCAGTACTAAATGTGATGCTGTTTTCTCCCCAGTTGTTTCTGAAAATATAGTAAAGTTTTGATGTAATCCTAAGATAATTTTTGACTAACACTGTTTTATGCCCTCCTTTTCCTAGAAGTTCCCAAAATTTGCAGGTTGGAAGTCAGTGAGGGGCAGTGTGGAGAGCCCAGAGAAGAGTATTTCTTCAATCTCAGTTCCATGACATGTGAAAAATTCCTATCTGGCGGGTGTCACAGCAATGAGAACAGGTTCCCAGATGAGGCTACCTGTATGGGCTTCTGTGCACCAAAAAAAAGTAAATACTACTTTTATGGTGTTGCTATTTCGTTTCTTTATTAAGACTCTAGGAGTAAAAAATCAACAATTTGATGTGGAATTCACATGGCTTGTGTTCTGGTGATTTCACATATAGTATGATATCGATCTTCACACAATTGCCCTGTGAGGAAGTAGAATTATTCCCATTTTTACATATGAGAGGACAGGCTACCAGAAGTTCATGACTTGCCAAGTTCTCAGGGCTGGAAAGTCACAAAGCCATGCATGATTTTAGTTTTTGCTTCCTCTTCTGGATTGTTTCTTTAGAACTATTTCTTATCTACTTAATTTACACATAAAAATTACAGTATTCTGAATGTCATGACCTCAGGTTTGGAATCACTTATTATAGGAGACAGTGGAATATATACAGACTTAAGATGGTGAAACTCAAAATTTCTATCTAAAGTTTTTGGCTAGATTTCTGTATCCTTTAGTAACTGCAAATTGCAGGACAAAGAGATTTCTATCCTTCTTTGTTACCCTTCTTTGTTCTTACCTACATCCTCACCCCCTCACTCCCTAAAAATGATGTGTTACTAAGGCAGCATTTTTGTAGAGAGAGACAATACAGGCATTTTCCCTTGGCATAGCAGACATACACAAATATATACAAACTTAACAAACAAGGAAAACTTGCTTTGGCAGAGATTTGAGGGAGCTCTATAGCTATTTGCTGTGTTCAAAATGTAAAATCTTGAGTTAATGGACAGATGGTGGTTGCTGGTGTTTCCTTAAATTTTTTGTGTAAATGTAAATGTTCCAGTGGCTACTTGGGAAATAGATACATGCATTCTTGATTAATAGTGGAAGGAGAGCTGATAAAAACATTTAAAATAAACCTACCAACACAAGAAACTTTACTAAAGCATGACATATATCAGCCCTTGAAACATAGCCCATTTCTACCAGACCATATCTGTTCTTTGGGTTCAATTTTTTTACACGTTCAAATGATACAAAGACATAGCTTCGGAAGAAATTCTCTCCAGTTTATGAAAATTTTAGATTTAGCAAAGTATAGCATGTAAGCTTTCTTGAAAATTGAGACACGCTTTTGAAATGGTTTAGTATGATATTTTGGATTCAGAATGAAGCTTCTATGGGATTAGATTTTCTTCAGTTACTTCAGTAATCACAACTTATTAATTCTGGTATTACTGCATTTCTAATTTTATTTTCTTTTTTTATAAAGGTCCATCATATTGCTATAGTCCAAAAGATGAAGGACTATGCTCCGCTAACGTGACTCGCTATTATTTTAATCCGAGACACAAAGCTTGTGAGGCCTTCACCTACACTGGCTGTGGAGGGAATGAGAATAACTTTATTAACATGAAGGATTGCAAACATGTTTGTGTAAAAGGTAATGATTTTTTTCTTCATTCCATTTTTAAACTAATTTTATAAATAATTTATAAGCAAATTTATATTTTTATGTATCCATTTTCCTAATAGCATATTGACATTTCAAGACTACTTCTACATAAATAGCATTTTAGTACTGGTCAGTTTTGTCAAATGCTAATGCTGTCTAGCTACAATAGACAGTAGCTGTATCCTTGCATTTTAAAGGTAGAAAGTTACTAACTTGAGTGGATAGTGAGTAAAACTGACTTTATAATCATTAAAAACAGTTGAGGTGAGCTGGTAAGCATGTCGGCACTGTTGATTTAAAGTGAGTGTATGGGCTGGAGATATATGATATTTATTTTTACTTTGTTGACTTTAGCTTTGAAGAAGGAAAAGAATAAGAAGATGCCAAAACTTTTCTTTGCTAACAGACGGGTGAAGATTTGGAAGAGGCAATTTTAACTTTTTTTTTTTCTATATTTCATTTTGTGAATGCTACTGCCTTTACGGTTATATCTGAATAATAATATAACATGGGTGAATGAATCATTAATGATTTACTTGCCAGTTTTTATTGCTACAGGTTACTTTTTTGGATATTTTTATACATAACCAGCTGCTATTCAAATGTGAATCTATTATTTTTAATTTACTGTTCACCTATGTGAGGTTGAATTCTTACTGTGCGTAAGATATAAAAGCAAATATGACTCACCCAGTTCTTGGGGTTGTTCTTCCTGAAATCAGAAGGTGATAGCAATTGAAAAGCATAAGACAGTATAATCATGTTGTCTTAATACATATGATCATAAAAAGGACCAGCAAATACATTTCATTTTGCATTTAAAAGTTGAATTATATTTTAAGTCCAAGGAAACAAACCTGCGGATTTATCAACACTTGAGAAAAATATTACAAGTGCTGTTAGGTAGACATGATTAACTTCTATTTCTATTGTGTCATTTAAAAGACAATAAAATAACTTTTTTGACTGAATAAAAAGTTTGCAAATTTATTAAAATCAGAAATGTTTTCTTCTGGGGATAAAATTCTCTCTCTCTTTAACTGTGTTTCCATCCATCATCCCCATTCACATGTATACATATGTTTATACATATAGAATAGATGGCTTTTAATATTCTATCGTTACCTTACTTCCTAAGACATAATAAACTGGAGACCACTAAAATTGTTAAAATTTTTAACTGTTCAAGGTGTTTATTTATATTAAACCAGAGAGCATGCATGAATTTAATAATTTAAGTTCCACTAATGAAATATTCTTTTTTTTTTTTTTTAACATTTTTTTGAGACAGAGAGAGACAGAGCATGAACAGGGGAGGGTCAGAGAAAGAGGGAGACACAGAATCCGAAACAGGCTCCAGGCTCTGAGCGGTCAGCACAGAGCCCGACGCAGGGCTCGAACTCACAGACTGTGAGATCATGACCTGAGCCGAAGTCGGACGCTCAACCGACTGAGCCACCCAGGCGCCCTGAAATATTCTTGATAAATATGATCATTCCAGTTAAACAGTTTTTTTTTCTGTAATGACTTTTTTTTTAATTCCTACGTTTTCATGGCAAGATTAATATGTTTAAAAGTATTCCCCTAATCTAGCAAAATTATAAATGCATTTGCCCTTTGAACAATTCCTCTTTTAAAATTCTAGCCCAGGGGCACCTGGGTGACCCAGGGGTCACAGTTGATCATCCCACTCTTGATTTCAGCTCAGGTCATGATCCCAGGGTCATGGGATCAAACCCCTTATCAGGCTCTGCGCTGAGCATGGGGCCTGCTTAAGATTCTCTCTCTCTCTCTCTCTCTCTCTCTCTCTCTCTCTTTCTTTCTCTCTCTCCCTCTGCCTCTCTCTCTCTCTCTCAAATAAAATCAAAACAAACAAATCTATCCCAAAGGTATTGTGAGAACAGTACAAAATGGTATAAGCCTGAGGACATTCATTGATGTATTATTCGGAACAACTGAAAACTGGAAACAAACCAGATAACTATCAATAGGGGATTGGTTGAAGAAATTATGGATGAAAAATGAGCAAAATATCTATATATGGGTATCATCTTATCCTCAGAATACATTTAAAAAACAGGGTCTAGAACAATATGAATAAAATATACACATCACAGAGGACATAAGGATATTAAAAATAGTTGCCTATACCAGGAAGGAGGAAACAGAGGATGGGACAGGTATGGAGATATTATATAGTTTTGATCTTATACCATGCAAACACTGCATAATTTAAAACCAAAATTAGGGGCGCCTGGGTGGCGCAGTCGGTTAAGCGTCCGACTTCAGCCAGGTCACGATCTCGCGGTCCGTGAGTTCGAGCCCCGCGTCAGGCTCTGGGCTGATGGCTCAGAGCCTGGAGCCTGTTTCGGATTCTGTGTCTCCCTCTCTCTCTGCCCCTCCCCCGTTCATGCTCTGTCTCTGTCTGTCCCATAAATAAATAAAAACGTTGAAAAAAAAATTAAAAAAAAAAAACAAACCAAAATTAAAAAGAATAGAAAGCATTCCTTCTGCAATTAGAAATAAACTAAAACAATTGAACCCAAATGAATATCAGATGGTGGCATAACTATACAAAGAATATGTAATTGTTTCCGGTGACTTTCAAAGCCAGTATTTTGACTATATGTCTTTTAAAGGCTATGATCTAAGGGTCATATAAATTCTGAAGAAATCTGAAAATGCAGATTAGTAGTCATTAGTAATATTGATACTGTTATTTTGAACCTATCATATATAGAAAATATATTTCTTTAGAAGTCAAGATTTTCAGTGTTAAGAGAAAAAGACAGAAGTATGAAATAAAGAAATTAAGAAAAAGCCTTTAACTTTTAAATTGGAATTACAAATATTAGTATGAATTGAAAGTATATTTTCTCTTTTAAAAAAATAAAAGTGTTTTCCATTTAAAAGTCCTTGAAGCAATGATAATCCAGTGGCAGTAAGTACACCTACCAGGGTTCTGAGGAGAAATCACCAACTCCAGGTCTAGAACTGGAAATATGTAAGATGAATTTAGGCCATCTTATTCCAGATAGCGAGGAAGCTATCAAAGACTAATGAATCAGGGGCACCTCGGTGGCTCAGTTGGTTAAGCATTCAACTTTGGCTCAGGTCATGATCTCACAGTGTGTGGGTTTGAGCCCCACATGGAGCTCTGTGCTGACAGCTCACAGACTAGAGCCTGTGTTGGATTCTGTGAATCCCTCTCTCTCTATTCCTCCCTCACTCACACTCTGTCTCTCTCTCTCCCCAAAATAAAAGAAACATTAAAAACCATTAAAAAAGAAGACTAATGAATCATATCATAAAAACAGGAGGGTAACAACAAGGGCCTTTCAATGATCTAAAATAAGGCAATATGAACATCAAAACAAATAATGACCACAATATATGTAAATATATAAAAATGAATTAATTACACACACATGCACGCCTCCTTGGTCACATTTGGAGACTGCTAGGGCACTCTCCCATTACTTTGAAAACTGGTAAGTTAACAGAAAGAATAAAGTATTTATCCTTTTTTATTTATCATTAAATTTATACCACCGGGAAACTAAATAGTGTATAAAAGTTATTCATAGAAGAATCTCACCTTATACATGCATGAAGATGTTAGAAGATACCTCTAATGAAAGTATGCATCTGGGTAATGATCATCTGTGGATGCCGAAGTCGTGGCTCAAAAGGTTGATGGAGGAATTAGGCTTATGTCTCTGAATCCATGGATAATTTCAGTGGCAACAGACATTCTTTGCTTCTTGATATGATGAAGTAGCTCACACCTCCTCCCCATGAAGAAATCTTGAAGAAAAAAAATTGAACCCAAAGTTAATCAAACCTCTAGATCTATCATTCATGAGGCAATATTGGGGATAAAGGAACAAGTTGGAAGAAACCAGGGGAAGTCAACCAGCCAAATCCATAATGTTGGCCACTCTACAGGAAAAATACCTTACGTTTTCCAACAAACCAATGAAATTTTAAAAGGAGTGAGAGGAGGAGCCAATGCTTTTATAGCTTTTATATGGGATGCAGCATGTCATTAAAAGGTTTTTGGTGGAATAAGACCGTATTTGCGACTACTCTTGGTGGTTTTTGAGAATGATCAGAGCAAAAGGGTCTTATGTACTCTGAGGATCTTATGTACAGAACCTTTGGGAATTCTGGGGATTCCAAGTGCTACAGGGAAGCTTGATTTGGTATTTGCTGCCTTTACGTCCCCTGCAGCCAAAGCCCTCAGGAGATGGCTCAGCCTACATTCAGCTACAGCTGCAGCTTTCTGTCCAGCTTGGGTAGGAATTTTGAAAACAATTTTCTAATACGCCAAAACCTCTGCCATTTTATTTTAATGAAGTATATAAAGCTGTTGTAGGTCATCCTGCAGTCTAAGTGAAATTCCTTCTCGCCACAGCCTGAAGACAAGTCACTGCTGTGGTTTCACCAGACAGCCTGATTAAAAGGAATGTCTCGTTCTAGGTACAAAAAGACACAAAATAGAACAGGCTGGCTTTAAATAACATAGTCTTTTATTGAAAAAAAAAAAAATTACTCTGGACCGCCACTCATTCCTGCTCTATGCACACACACTGTCACATGTTTAACCATACAAACTGCAGTGGAGCCTTTAAAACTGCCTGGATCACAGCATCTCTAGATATACATGCTATCTCTGCCAACAGTCTCGTAGACATTTAGCTAATGATGTAACTCCGTAATGTTCTTTGGAGTATCTGTTCCTGTATTGTAATAGTGGCTCCAGTAAAATATGGGTCTTGTGATAAAAATAAGGAAAGGTGGAAAAGTGGAGTTTGTAGTTTTAAGAGATTCTTCGTCTAGGTATTTTAAGCCTAGAATGAAGGCAAGCAAATGTGGGCATTGGAACCATCCAAAATTATTTTGTCTTCACTCAGTATTCAGTTGGTAACCAAGTATATCTGTTCAAGTCTATTCTAGTGCTGCTTATCTTATTCCAGGAAAACTAAAACATTTTCCCAAATTTCCTCCCTGCCTATCTGCTCCCTATCCAATCATCCACACTGATGCCAGGGTAATCTTTTTGAAAAAAAAATCTTATCAAGATTTACTCCTCTTAAACTCTTCAGATGTTTGCTGTTGAATCTTCATGTTAACTGCCCAAGCCCCTAGTGTGTCATTTAAGGCTTCTTAAAAGTGGGCCATGACATTCCTCTCCAGATGTATCTCCCCCATTCCAACATCACCAGTAAGCTACAATTCAGTTGCACTAAATCATGTTCAGTTTCCAAAGAATGTGATACTGCTTTGGCTTTTTTGGTAATGTAATTAACGAATTTTGCACATGAGAACCATCCAGGGAGCCAGTTATATGGCAGGCTCCTATGCCCAATGACTGGGGGTTTTGATTTAGTGGGTTTGAGTTAGCAAAGATGTACATGACAGACAACGACTCCAGATGATTAGAAGGTATACTTGTGCCACACTTTGAGGAACACTATTAATCATTTGTCCTGTGGCTTCGCTATATCTAATACAACTTCCTAGTTGCACTAAGATAGCATTTAGTTATTTTCCTAGGATTTTTGTTGTTAGGGTGTTCAAGTTTTTCATGCAAAACTAATAGGTTATATTTTGATTTTGAAATATGTTATTATATTCACTGTATACTATATAGAAAATTAAAAGTATCTATAAAGATAAGAATAAAAATAGTCCAAAATTTCATCACTAATTAACAACCACTCTTCAGTTCCCTTGAAGGGGAAGTAACTTAGTCAAGAGGTATGAACATGTTAATGCTCTCAGTATATGCTGACAAATTACATTACAAAGTTCTATCAGTTTATCTCCATCTAAGAATCTAAGAATGTATGCAAATGCCCAACACACTGGGTTTTAAACGAGCAGAAAAATAAATTCACTTCTTTGTCATAATAAAATTATATCTCATCATTATTTTAATTGGTATTTCCAGGATTATTCCTAAGGTTGAACCTTTACAAATTTTA